GTTTGGGGGCAGGGAGGCCAGGACCCCCCACGAAGGCCCCAGACATACACACACCCCCCCACACACACTGGTTTTCCTGCTGGTCCTGATCCTAAAGGGCTGGGTTTTTTTTTCCCCCGTATAGAGGGGGCTGGTGTTTTCATTGGGGGGGGGTTAATCAGTGTCTGCAATGCTTTGAGCGCCCCTGGGATTCACCCCCAGCGCCAAAAGCACAGGGTCTCTGCCCCAAGGAGCCTACTATCTAAAACTCTGCCCTGGGCAGAAAAAAAGAAAAGGATGATTCCAGGAAGGAGGGATGATCTTGGGCTAAACAGAGGCACCAGGCCAGCCTTTGCTTGGCCCATTCTTGAGCCGGGTTCAGAAGAAATAAGTCAGCTTCCCCTTCCTGGTGGGTCACTGCCGGGGGACGATTCCCGCACAGTTGTTCCACCTTACGTACAACGTTCGGTTGACAGCACTTTGGCTGGACTCCGATCAGAGCCTGCGTGTCATTGGGTTAAGCCTTTGGGCTACCAAAGTTGCAATTACCCTTGTTTTGGGGTGCAAAAGGGCACCTGAGGTGACCCAAGGGTGGTGGTGGGGACATGCCCTCCATGCATGCCCTCCAAAGCCCCGCTGAGCTTTATCCCCCCACCCCATCCCCAGGAGTGCAGGTTGCTGTATTTCAAAAGAAGCCATCCATGGAGGACGTTACAGGGTGACCGAACAGAACAGGACATGATCTACGCTTGAGAGTCCTGCCGGCTACTGCATTTTTGGAATTAGAAGGGGAGAAGAGGAGGGAGGGTTTAAAGGAGCCCAGATCCCTCCCATCAGCTGGGAAAAAGGGGGGGGGATTACCCCAGCAACAGACAACACAATAAAATGAAAAAAAAATAATTTTGACACTTTATGAAGTCCCCGCCACAATGCACACACACACAGAGAGAGACTCATCCAGTTCCTTTTTAAAAACAACATTGGTTCAGCTGGCCACATGCGTGCCAAACAGGACGTGTCGTTGGGCAGTTTCCAGCCAGAGTTGGGGTTGTCGGAAAGGCCTGACACTGGAAGGGCACATTTTCCAGCCCCCCCCCTTTCGTCCCTTGGGTGGCAGGCCCGTCCCAAGGGGCGCTGTGGGCAGGTAACCCATTTGGCGAAAGGAACTCAAATTGAGCAGCGGCGTATGGCTTACCCGAAAATCTGGAAGAGATGCTGCCCTGAATATATTCTAAAAACACATTTTTAAAAATCCTTTTTTGAGAACTTGAGCGTTGCCTTCTAGCGATGAGACGGGGTGCAAATGTCATTGGTAATAAAAATAAGGGGAACGGGCGATGGGAAGGCTGAAGCATTGACAAAGGCCGCATAATGTCCCCGTCGGGTAGCAAAACTGGGCGCTTGGTCCCTCTCCCATCCCTCTTCTTCCGCCCTGGATGCTTTCCGAGGGAAAGGGCAGCAGAGGGGGAGATGATGAAAGGAACTGGGATTTCCAGCTTGGAACGAACGTGTGTCCCATAGTAAGTATCCTCGGTTGATAACGGATGGGCAAGGAGCGAGAGGATGCACGCACGCACAAATCTCTCCGAGCAGCAGCTCCTCATCCCCCATGTGCCATGCTTAGAGAGTTCTCTGACTGCATTAAGACGCGGCACCATCAAAGTGTTAGCAGACAGCTTTGGTATGTTTGCTTACGGCTCCAAACTGTAGCGGCGCTTAATGCCGTTTACTTTATCCAAATGTCCCTGAAAATCTTGTTGTTTAATCATCCTACCTCCATCACACAGGTTGGCTTAAGCAGCCTTCAAGCTGTTGAGTTTCCCTCTGCTCCTAAGACGCAAATGTGAAGAAGCAGCTCCACCCCAGGCGGTGTTCTGTTTCAAGAGCGGATCCGGTTCTCCCAGGGCCTGCTAAACTTTGCCCGGAGTTTCAAAGGTCTTAAAATGCAATCGTAAACCCAAATGCAGAGGAAGGAATCTGCTGACTGTCAATAAAGACAGGTGTATTTCAGTTGGGTTAGAAAACTACTTTTTTTTCTGCAGCCTGCTTTGTCCTACAAACAAACAGCTGCAAATGAAATCTGCAAACTAGCAGAAGTGGCTAAATGTCCCTTTTTCAGGGTAAGAAGGAAGGACCCGCAAAGGATAGGGAAGTTAGCCTCGACGGGGAATTGCCGTCTAAGCCAGGGCTGATCCAGGAAGCTACAGGGAACAATGTACCCCTCGTTGAAGGAACTGTGCGGAGCTGCTCTTGGTCAGAGTGGAGAGAAATGGAAAACAATACAGCGCTGGCTGCAAAAGGGAGGGTTTCACTCTTGGATTTAAACCTCCCCCTGGATGAAGAGCTGAGTGGGGAGGGGGAGAAGCAGGCTCCCTTCCAACCCTAAATGTGCCCCCCCTACCCTCTACATGCTGACTGTGAGCCAGAGTTTGTCGTGAGCAGGACGCCGAGTTTACTGACTAAATCTGTCCCGTTATCGCTTTAGGCCTCAGTGTACCCGGGAGATGGCTGCTACGTGAAACGCACCACGGAGCCTGTTTGCATTGCGAGGAGGAGGAGGATCTGTTCCAAGTGAGGTAAAGGCTGAGTCTTCCCTCCCCCCCACACACTACTGATGGTGAGGATGAGGATACAGGAGCATATCTCCTGAGCGGCTCATTATTGCAAAACTGAACTCTTGGCTTTAACAGAGAGCCACAAGCTTATCAAAGATGCCTGGAGGTGGAAGGTTTTGCCGAAGCCTGTGGGTCTTTTTGGAGATCCTTTATAGGTTCCTTGGAGATGCCAAAGCTTAAGGCCTTGCACTCTGAACATTATTATGGCCAGGTCTGCCTTCCTGACCTTCAGCCGTAGCGTTTGCCTGGAAGAGCATTCAACAGTAGGAGCAAAGCCACTTGGCTTGCTGGGGGTGGACTGGCCTCCAGTTCTCAAAACTCAGATAGTTCATGGAGGAATACTGGACCTTCACGTTACCTGTGAGTGATGGATGGCCAATGGAGGGTCTTCCCGGGGCGGGATTCTATTGCTGTCTTCCGAGAACCCAAGGCTTCCAAGTGGGAGGGGGGGAACAATCTCCTTTGCTCCTTTAAGAGGAGCTTGCAGCTTGCAGCCGTTTCCCCCCCTGTAAGCTTAGCCGCACAGAGACGCTCACTGTCGCCATCTCTGCCATATCACATCACGGCTCAACGGCATCACATGTTTGGGAGGGCTGGCCGCCCAGAAAAGAGCACAGCTGGAATCCTGCAAAGATGGGATGCAGGATAAAGGAAAAAGGGATAGGGGGACGGCTTAAGGATGCTTGGGCAACAATGGGAGACTCATTAGATACTTTTGGTATGTGCAAGATATTCGGGCTGTTATGAGACCATTAAATGTAGCCAGGAAGATGGCAAGGATTTTAGCAAAAGAGGGGAGAGAGCAAGCTAATCCCGAGAAGGGGAAATATGCAGGATTTTCACAGTCTTAACCGTTACGTTCCCAGCGGTAGCTGGAATATTGAGGACTGCTTTTTGCTCGCACAAAAACCGGAAGAGGAGACTACAGATCCCTGAAAGGAGTTAATCCCCAGAAGAGTAGATGGATCCACTGGTCCATTTTTTCTTTTCTCCATGCGATCTTACCAGAATCCCCAAGATTCCACTGGAAGGATGGTGTCATGTGTTCTTTTTCGCCATGTAAGGTCTTCTTCCCCACTTTATCCCAGTGTATGCGGGATTACAGAGGGGAGAACCTCGTAGGCGGATGAACCTGCTCACGTGGAATCAGACCTCTGGCGCATTCAGACCATGGTTGCCAGCTCTGAATGGCAGCCAAGTCTTTAATCAGAATATTTCCCTGGTTCATCCTGGAGATCCCTGGGGTGGGGGAGTGGGCCCCAATTTGCTCATTAGGACAGAAGCTGCTCAGCTGCCAAGCTTGGCTGGACAAGACGAGGTTTGCTCACGGAGATGTACGGAGATGGCTCACCCGTCTGTTTTCCCTGGTAGGTCAGGACTGGATTCGGGATCCATGCCGCCGGCCCCGCCTCGACGGAGAGAGACGCCATGGCCGCCGCTCCTCAGCTCAACTCGGACGCCCTCCGGGAAGTCTTGGAGTGCCCGATCTGCATGGAGTGCTTCACCGAGGAGCAGCTGCGGCCGAAGCTCCTGCACTGCGGGCACACCATCTGCCGGCAGTGCTCGGAGAAGCTCCTGGCGAACAGCATCAACGGGATCCGTTGCCCCTTCTGCAGCAAAGTGACGCGGATCACCAGCCTGGCTCAGCTGACGGACAACTTGACCGTGCTGAAGATCATCGACACGGCCGGGCTCGGCGAGACCGTCGGCCTCCTCATGTGCAAGGCTTGCGCCCGGCGGCTGCCCAAGCACTTCTGCCGCAGCTGCGGCTCGGTCCTGTGCGAGCCGTGCAAGGCGGCCGAACACGCCCAGCGGGGCCACGGGGTGGTGGCCATCAAAGAGGCGGCCGACGAGCGGAGGAGGGCGTTCGGGGCCAAGCTGGGCCGCTTGCGGGAGCTCATGGGGGACCTGCAGAAGAGGAAGGGGGCCCTGGAAGGGGTCTCCAAGGACCTGCAAGCAAGGTACAAAGCCGTCCTGCAGGAGTACGGCAAGGAAGAGCGGAAGGTGCAGGAGGAGCTGGCCAGATCCCGGAAGTTCTTCACCGGCTCCCTCTCCGAAGTGGAGAAGGTGAACAGCCAGATCATGGAGGAGCAGGCTTACCTGCTGAACATCGCCGAGGTGCAGATTGTGTCGCGCTGCGACTACTTCCTGGCCAAGATCAAGCAGGGGGACCTGGCCCTCCTGGAGGAAGAGGGCGAGGAGGAGGAACCCGAGCTGATGAACACCCTTCCTAAAGAGCTGACCCTGCAGGAGGTGGAGCTCCTGAAGGTCGGCCACGTGGGGCCGCTGCAGATTGGCCAAGTGGTGAAGAAGCCCCGGAGCATCAACGTGGAGGACTCGCTGATGGAGACGGGAGGGGCCGCCTCCGCCTCCTCCGTGACCTTCAGGGAGGTGGACGCCGCCGAGGACGAGGCCGGCCCCTTGCCCAGCTGCCCCTCGCCGGCCAAGCCGCGGATGCCGGACGCGGCCTCTGGCCTCCAGCAGTGCCACTTCCTCAAAAAGATGGGCTCCAAAGGGAGCACGCCGGGGACCTTCAACCTCCCCGTCAGCCTGCACGTCACCCCTCAGGGGGAGGTGCTGGTGGCGGATCGTGGCAACTTCCGGATCCAGGTCTTCACCCGCAAGGGCTTCCTGAAGGAGATCCGCCGGAGCCCCAGCGGCATCGACAGCTTCGTGCTCAGCTTCCTGGGGGCCGACCTGCCCAACCTGACGCCCTTGTCGGTCACGATGAACTGCCACGGCCTCATTGGGGTGACCGACAGCTACGACAACTCCGTGAAGGTCTACACCCTCGACGGGCACTGCGTGGCCTGCCACAGGAGCCAGCTGAGCAAGCCATGGGGGATCACCGCTCTCCCGTCCGGACAGTTCGTGGTCACGGACGTGGAAGGCGGGAAGCTCTGGTGCTTCACCGTAGACCGCAGTGTTGGGGTGGTGAAGTACAGCTGCTTGTGTAGCGCCGTGCGCCCAAAGTTCGTGACCTGCGACGCGGAAGGGACGATCTATTTCACGCAGGGCCTGGGCCTGAACCTCGAGAACCGCCAGCACGAGCATCACCTGGAAGGGGGCTTCTCCATCGGCTCCGTCGGCCCCGACGGGCAGCTCGGCCGGCAGATCAGCCACTTCTTCTCCGAGAACGAGGACTTCCGCTGCATCGCCGGGATGTGCGTGGACACTCGGGGCGACCTGATCGTCGCGGACAGTAGCCGGAAAGAAATCCTGCATTTCCCCAAGGGCGGCGGCTATAACATCTTGATCCGAGAAGGTCTCACCTGCCCGGTGGGCATTGCCATCACGCCCAAGGGGCAGCTCTTAGTCTTGGACTGCTGGGATCACTGCATCAAGATCTACAGTTACCACTTGCGGAGGTACTCCACGCCGTAAGAGGGGCAGGAGCCGGAACGGGCTGTGCGGCGTGCCTCTTTGGGGGGGCTAGATTCTTCCAATGGACATAAGAGACTCATTGACACGGGTGCCATAGTTTTTGAGCAGACTCTGCTCCGATCCTCTGTGTGTGTGTGTGTTTGATTAGAAGACACGGCATCTGTGTGTGTGTGTGTGTTTTTCAAAGGAGCGCTGTCTCGTGGTAATACAGCCTTGTTTTTGAGTTCTAGCTGCGGAGATAATGAGGGAGTGACCAATGGAGATGGGGGGAAGGTGGCCTCCCTTTCGGTTCATCTGGGGGCTGGAGTCGCTGTTCCTTTGTGCCTGGGGATGGCCAAACCTAATGGCTTGTGGTGCTTGTTCCTGCCCACCTGCCCTGGCTGGAGGGTGGAGGGGGCGAAATATGTGGTCATGCAAAGGCCCTGGCCAAAAAAGAAAGGGATTGATCCCTTTATGCAGAGTTCAAACGCTGCCACCACAGTAAGGTGGCTGAAGGAGAGGCTGGCCCTTCCAATTTATGTCTTCCACTTCTCCAAGGCTGTATTAACCACGCACTGTAACACCCCTGCACCCCCAGATCTCTGTATCACCTTTCACCAATGCATGCGTAGGGGCTCACAGAGGAATTTACCTTTTCATTGGCTGTTCCACTACACGTAGTCGGTAGTACGTTTTCCCCAAAACTCAGATCCCTCGAAATGTCCGGCGGCACTGTGTAACCGAGTTGTTGCAAGAAAAGTTCGCTGACGCGGCTGCAGCCGAAGAGCAACGTCCGCGCACGCTCCCCCAGAGGGTGTACCCCATTTGGTGCCGACGGGACCTGTGTTTGTGTGTGAATTTCAAGCCCTTTGTTCAATGTGAAATAGGTGTAGTTGCGGCTGCCGAATGCCGACGCTGGACTGTCTCCAAGGAATCTCCGGGAAACGGACATCGGTTTGATGGGGCTGTGAAAGGGTGGTTGGGTGGGAAGGCCAACAATATGGGGCTGAATCCCTCCCTTTGTGTTTCACAACTTGTGCTGCACTCTTGCTTGGAAAAATGTGTTGGCGGGTCATGTTTTTTTTCTTGTGGGTTCTTTCACCGGGGAGGGAGGAATGGAAGTAAAGGAGATCAAACGTGACAAAATGTGAATGTTTAACCGTGTGCCTTCAATTTCTTGCATTCCACCCGACTGAACTGCCTGATGGCTTTCCACTCGTTTTCCTCTCAGTGCAAAAGCAGCTTGTCTATAACGTGGTGCAAGGAGCTTCTTATGTTATTATGCAGGAAAAAAACTCTCTCTCATGCAGCTAGGCCTTATCGTAAGACAATCTCAGTGAACAGGCTCCGGTCAGATCGAGCGTGGAACTGCAGCTGGGCAAATCGGCGCACCCAGACTGCGTCAGACAGGCGGCCACAGCAGTGTTCACATCATAAGCTGGCCCTCTATGGGACTTGGGCACCTTTGCCATCCAGCCCAGTGTTGCACACACCAAGTTCAGTTCGCTGTCCTCTCTTAGCCAAGGCATACCTGGGAGCTTGGACTCCCTTCGTGGAGGGCCCGCTGCAGCATGGTGCGCGGAGGGGGGGAAATGCCCAGGAGGCAACGCCCGTCACGAGAACCAAGGGCAGAGAGTGGTGGGCACTGCAGTGGCTCAGTGTCCAGCAAATCCCCCCCTTCCTTCAGGGACGTGGTGGCGCTGTGGGCTAAACCGCAGAAGCCTCTGTGCTGCAGGGTCAGAAGACCAAGCAGTCATAAGATCGAAACCACGCGACGGAGTGAGCTCCCGTCGCTTGTCCCAGCTCCCACCAACCTAGTGGTTCGAAAGCATGCAAATGCGAGTAGATAAATAGGGGCCACCTCGGTGGGAAGGTAACAGCGTTTCGTGTCTAAGTCGCACTGGCCATGTGACCACGGAAGATTGTCTTCGGACAAAAACGCTGGCTCTATGGCTTGGAAACGGGGATGAGCACCGTCCCCTAGAGTCGAACACGACTGGACAAAAATTGTCAAGGGGAACCTTTACCTTCCTTCTTTCCCCTCGCGTAGGCAAAGCCATTCAGGCTCATGAGTGTACCGTTTAAAGACTCAATTTTTCTGCGACAGGGCAGTATCATTGTTTTGAGTTTTTTCTTTCCCCTCGCGTGCCGTCGGTAGGCCAGACCGCCATGATGCTGGGAACGCAGAGACTGAAATCATGGTTCAGGAAAAGCAACAGGAGGGCAGGCGTGGCTGGCAACCAAGCTTCTGAACAAAAGGCATGGCGCCCCCTGTTACTCTACTTAAAGCTCCCTCCTTTTGCACCGGAAATAAGCTCCATAGACATCATAATATCTTCCTTACACTATTTAATTTTTTTTGTTACATCTGTGGTCCTCATCAGGGCGCGGATAGGAGCGGTCGGCTGCGGAGGGTCAGGAAAATAAGACTAGTCGCAGATTTGGAGAAATGACGGCTTCCTGCAGCTGCTAACTCAGGCCGCCTCTCTCCACCATTGAGCCACATCAACTGCAACAATTCATTACAGTATTTCCCTTTCCCCCCACTTTCTGACAGCTAGAAACTTGCTTTAAATGAAATGCCAGCTGAGCTTTTTCCAAGGGAGGCGGTACAGGAAGGATCGGCCAAGCTTGCCTGCCTTCCGCTCCGACTGTAGACAATTACTGTACGGTTCCGAGATAGATCGCGTTCCTAGGGTTGCTGCGAATATAAGGCTCCTGACATACAGCTGGATCAGAAAGCAGATGATTCCACAGACCCTTTGGGGTGTGGTGGTTATGCCTCCGCCAGGGGCAATTTAATGCGCAGCTCCAGGGAGTAGCATCTCTTAAATTTGAGATAACTGCGCAGATTGGGGGATTTCTGGAGTGAGGGTGTGCGTAACTGCCTTGCCGCTATCCGCTCCTGCTCTTCCAAGAAACGTAGCATTTAGGCCCGCTTCCTTGTCGGCATCTCCGCATTTTTAAACGGCCGCACTTATGAGCTTGCCCTTGCAAGGCATCTTTTGTCCCACGGACTCCTGCAAGCATTATTGTGCTTTATGGCTAAGCTCTGGCCTCCCGACACCATTCCAGGGAACATCCGTTGTAGCAAATAACGCCACTATCGGGAGCGGTTTTGGAAAGCCGGAGATTCATTTAAAGGGACTTAAAGCCCACTCCGTTCTGCTGATGGCGCACTCGACTGCCAAGCTTCGGCCGAATGGCCACATCACCGTTTAAGCTAAGTCTCCGCCATCTGTTCCGCTCTCCGATTGCGACGTCTGTGTGTGCGGGCGTGCTTTTGTTTTGCACAGCATTCCACAATCGAGCTGGCTTCTCTCATGCATCGGCTGGCTCTGTTGGCTGGCGCTTGGGGCTGTTCATGGGGAGGCAAGCTGACTTGATCGAAGTGATATGAAATGATGCGCCTGCAGGACCGGCGAGGGTCCCCCCCCCGGCTGCTAGAGTGGGTTCTTCCCCCTTTGGGAGAGTGATGGCTGGAATCCCTGCCCACAACGCCCTTGATGCTGCAGGTGCGGCCGTGGAGGGACTTGGCCTTCAGGTGGACAGGCAAAGAGGAGAGGAGGACCGCTGGGTGGACACCGCGGACTGGGAAATGCAAGAAGCCCAGCGCTGCCAGAGAGGTCGATGCCTGGGAGTGGGAGATGGTCTGCAGACGGGATCCTGAGAACGGCTACTGGGTCAAGCTGCTCATGCCACTGGAGGAAGCCGTCTGGGTCCGTTGGGGCAGCATCAGGTGCTGAGAGGCCTGAGAACCAGCGTCAAGCTGGTCAATGGCAGAGGAAGCAGCAACAGCAGGGGGCAAGTCTCCTCGATGGAGAAGCCCACGGTCCGCACGCTTCCTGATCTCAAGAAGGTTTGCCTCCAGCTCCTCTCCGTCGTCTGCCTTGCTACGCAGGAGACCTCGGCCCATGTCAAGGTTCGGCCACACTTCTTGGAAGGATTCCCACACCTGTGGGCCAGCAGCTGCCAGCTGGGATTAGAAGGCCCATGTCAAGTTCGGCCACACTTCTTGGGAGGATCCCCACACCCGTGGGCCAGCAGCTGCCAGCTGGGATTAGAGAGGTGTTGGAGAAGAGGCACCTTCGCCGCCCGCTTCTCAGGTCCTTGGATTGTGCCCGTCTAGTGCCCTTGTTGAGGCACCTGGTGCCTGGCCCACCCGCGAGGGGTCCTGGACCTGGCAGTAGAGGCTGGGCTTCTCTCCCCTCCGGAAGAGGCTCTAGGCGGACACGGTGGGAGGGACGTCAACTCCCTGGCATCCTGAGCTACCCGTTTTATGTCAGTAGCCCCGCTGGCCCTTTCACAATGGCCCCTGCTCCATCAAAGAGCCGGTTCCAGCGACCACTCTGCGTTATCACGTACGGGGGCCGCTCACAGCCCCCCATGTTGGAAGCTGAGATCTCACCCCTGGGGGCCAGTGGGGTTGATCCAAGGAAGCAGGATGGCAAGAGCCTCGGAAGCACAGACCGACACTGCAAAAGGTGCTGCCGGGCAACGTCACGGCCACTCGGAAGGGGGATGAGGTGAGCTAGTGGAGAAGAGGCAGGTTTGGGGGTGGCTGGAAGGTGGTGGCGGTGGTGGAGGAGGAGAGCCAGTGGGTGAACCAGACAAACCCTTTGGCGTCCAGCACAGGGTGGCAGTTTGTAAGGCAACCTTCAGCATGGAGAGGGACGGAAATGTTCCCGTTGAGTGTCTTGGAAAGGAGCAGAGGGGACTCTGGTTGAAGGGAGCCCGTCCTGCCCCGTGAGCTGTGCTGGCCAGGATTTCTGGGAGTTGTAGTCCAAGCACATCCCAGGATTGGGAACTGCTGGTGGAGTGCTGGACGGTGACTCAGAAGACGTAGGTTCTAATCCCTGCTGGACTACAGGAATGCACTGGGGTGCATGTGTGACAGTGGTAAAACTATTACTTGAGGAACTTACATACCCTTGGAAAACCCATTACATTTGCCATGTTGAAACGGGCAGTCTCTAACGCCAAACAAAGCTAATACATTTACTAGAACTCCATATTCGGTGTCTTCTGGGAAGCACATAGCCTATCCCATTCCTTTTTTAAAAGAAAGCATTTATTTTCATTTATAAAACCCAACCTCTGTGCACATAGTTGCCTGTTCGGATAAACTACGCAACACTCAAAATGCAGCTGTACGTGGGGAAGACTTGTTCCTAATCTGATAGGAATCCGACCACCCAAGTAGGTTCGTATAATAGGGTTTTCAAGGGGCGCAAGGTCTTTAAGGAGTGGTTTTACCAGCTCCACACACACACACACCCCCGGGGGATTCCATGGAAGAGACCTTCAAATCCAGGTCTCCTGAATCCTAGTCCCTCACTCGATCCATTACATCACAATGGAAATCTCCTTCATTGTGTGTGTGTGTGTGTGTGTGGAATCTCCTTCATTGTGTGTGTGCATGCGTGTCCATGTGCGTGTGTGTGTGTGTGTGTGTACAAATACTACAAGTTGCCTCTGTGATTCTAAGCTACAGAAGAACATGCTTTACTGTGACCTTCCCTCCACCCCCCGTGTGTGTGTGTGTGTGTGTGTATGCACAGAGTGTCTAACAGGCTGCCTAGTAGACAGAAAATGGACTTGAACGCAGATTGCAATGAACGACAATGGGGTGGGGAAGAGAGAGAAGAGCCCGGCATTATTAAGAACACTTCATCTCCTCTCCCTCCCTTTGGTGGCGAAGCCTCTTTTCACAGCCTTCCAGAACCAAATTGCCTTTGATGGGGAGGGGAAATGAAAGCGTTCTCTCTCACGCCGCTGGTAGGAAACAATCATGGTAACGAAGAGACACACGTCCTCTCCCGAGGTGTTGGAGAGGCAACTTCATCAAGTTTGATTCTCCTACTCGGAGGAAGGCTTTGTTTTGTTCTGTGTTTTCCTGGTTCTTGTGACCAAAGACGGGCTGAAAAACGTATTCCTTTGCAACAAAACCTTGGAAAAGCAAGGGGATATTTTGAAGGGGTCCCTGCCTGCCTCTCTCTCGCTGTAGATTATTTTTTTAAGGAAATAAACCACACACTATGTGACTCTTGTTCCAAGGTCCAGAAGGCTGCAGTTAAAGACTGCTTAAATTACATCTCTACAAGACATTATGTGCACCACTTTTGTTTCTGGCCCATGTGCAGCTGTGATATTTCAAGGTAGGTGAGATGTTCAAGGACTCGTCTACCATTGCCACCACCTGCCCAGTAACGTTCCAGAGAGGTATTTCAACCCAGGTCTCGTGAGTCCTAATCCGGCACTCCTCTCCCCTTATACCACACCTACTGGGCCAATAAATAAAGGAGAAACATTTTAGCCTAGTGGGAAGATGTTCCAGTGCGTTCTGAATAGTTGTTTCCTATGTTCTACAGAGTCCCTATAAAGAGAGGCATGTGTGGACGCCGAAAGGTTTTGCCATGATTTTCAAATCCATCTGTTCATTTGAAACGGGATCCCCGGGTCGAGCGACTAGACTGGGAAGAACTAGGTCTGAAGTGGCATTCGGTTCCTTTCAGTGTCTCGGGCGCAGGCTATTGCGAAGGAAAACATGCAGACGAAGAAGAAGAAGGCACGAACTTGGGCTCCTTGGTGGAAAGGATGAAAGGAAACCCAACGTTATTTTTTTAAAAAAATGATGCTTGGGAAAGGAAATAATGCAACCCTGAAAATTCAGTGCAAGGAGACCAGTTCGCACCACGCATGCCTGCAAGGCATCGGTGGTCTTGCAGGTCAAACCTGGTAACCAGGGCAGCCCTTCAGAGGTTGATGGTCTTCGGCGCCTGGCGCCTCCCAACAGCTGGAGGTCATGAGCCGCTGACACCACCCATGGTTGCTGAGGTCAAGGTTCACAAGAACTTAGAAAAGCCACTTTCTACTGAATTAGGCCAGATTTGCCTGCTCTGACTGGCAGCCATGGTTCTCCTCGGTTTCATGCAGGTTTCTTTCCTGGACCTACTGGGGAGATCTCAGTGGATCCCTAGTGGTCCCCTATCCCAGTGGTCCCTAACCTTGGGCCTCCAGATGTTCTTGAACTGCAACTCCCAGAAGCCTTCACCACCACCTCTGCTGGCCAGGATTTCTGGGAGTTGAAGTCCAAGAACATCTGGAGGCCCAAGGTTGAGGACCACTGCCCTATCCAGACAAGGCTGGGCGAGTCCAACAGCCTCTGCCCCCCCTCCCATTTCTCAGCCTTGCTTATTGGTGTCCAGCATGAAGAAAACAGACAGACAAAAATGCGCACTCTGTAGCTAAGCTTATTGGAAACAGTACGGCGAGGACTTCACTCAGACAAAGAAAACAGAAACAAAACTCAGCCGCCTCCATTGAAAAAGAGTATCCCCCCCCACTCTACAGAGCTAAAGTACGTCGCAGAATTCACTACGCAGGATGCACTGGAATCCTGACAGCACGCAGAATTAAATCTAGGTGCCTCGCTCAGCGCAACAGCTGCTTTGACTCCTGCTTATAAGATTTGAAAATTTCAAGACTTAAAGTGTATTGTAACTCGCGCAATGAGGAAGATTGATAGCATGGAAGGGATGCAAACATACACACACACACACCTTGATTCACCCCGACTCTGCAGGAGAGCTGGGACATCAAGTTGCTGTTTGTCATTGTTTAAGAACAAAACCAACGGGAACGGCACGTTGTGAATACATTTCCTGCAAAGCCACACCACACAGAGAAGACCCTGCACAAGAGGACAGAACGGCTACCCGGGGAGGAGCGGGTGATCTGCCCTAATGCAGGATTGTTCTCCAAGCTGTTCCTTCATGCCTAGCCTGTCCACCAGACTGAAATCAGCTTCCCAAGGCACATAATACTTGGGATTCGGCCTTCCCTCGCTCAGATAGGTGCGTCTTGGCCTCGAAGCAGATGGGCACGGGAAACGAAATGAGAGTTCAACGTTCAACATTATTCTTAGTGGGCCAGAGCTGTGGCAGACCAGGTTGGGAGCACACCAGACAGAAAAAGGAAGTGCCAACCGCCATCCAGCACCGGAACAATGCTAGAATGCCCAGGGATTGGGGGAAAAAACAACACAACACACTACATTTAGGAAGAGATGAAAGTCCAGAAGCTCTGGACTTGGGACAGGTAGATGTGTGTTGTGTTTTGTTTGTGCTGGATCTGAAGGACTTTGTGAATGTTGGAAACATCTTACTAAAAAAAAAAGAGAGAGAGTCAAAAATGAAGCTTTGAGTGACATTTGCTACTGCATTGGAGTCTTGCCAAGACAGCCATATTCTGACTTCATACACAATAGAGATATAAAAGCAGCAGCTGAGATATGTTTTTATGACAAACCGCAGAATTCAAACATCACAGATGGAAAATAGCCAGGAAGGGGGGAAAAATGGGGAGAAGATCAACGGCAACGCGTAAAGCCACTGATCAAAAGGAGTCTTCTCCGTGGAGGGGACGGTGGCCGAACTGTGGGGACGAGACGCTTCTGAACTCTTAGAAATCTCACCTAATTGCATCACTTCCAGGGACCCAAAGTTTATTGCCCTGTTTAATGATGTGTCTGGTTATTTATGGCGTTGCGCGGGGAGAGACTGCGGCTGAATTAATATACTTCCTTAAAGACCGTCATTGTCACAAGTGATAAAACAGAACCATTCCCAGACAGCTCAATTATGTCACGTTTATAGAACCCTGCCCAAATCGCCCACAGATATTTCTTTTTAAAGGAAAGAGCGGGCAAGACGAAAAGGGTCGCCTGTGCAACGCTGCCAGGGCTCCGAAACGAGATGGCTTCCAGGCCCCGCAGGCGTAAAGCGAGGCACGCAGATGGGGCAGGAAGGAGAGAGTGGGCGAGGGGAAACGGGATGCCCTTGAAGCAATACACACACACAGACACACACACCAAAAACCCATGGCAGGTCTTCCAACTACGACTGCACGGAGCCAAACCCATGTGTAGGAAAAGCCAAGGAAGCGCCTTACCTTTCTGATACTGGAGCCAGAGCTGCTGCTGAACCTTCTTGCTGGGGAAGCGGATGGTGCAGCTGAACTCGGATCCGTACAGGGCCTCCGCGATGTAGTGGGAGCCGTACTGCTGGAGGAAGTAGAGGAGCTCCTCGCGGCTGCTGTCCTTGTTCAGGATCTTCAGGACATTTGAAAAACCTGGGGGAGCGAGAGAGGCGCAATGTTACCGGCGGCCACCAAAATGGGAAGAGATTGCACGATGCCAAGGAACGCGGGACTGAGTGCTGGGTTAGATCCAGATGGACTGAATTCAATGGGTGGCCCTTGTGGATCAACAAAGGGATGGCTGGCCAGTGCCTGAGGGTCACATTTTTTTTAAACCACCAAGGCATGACAGCTAAGCGTCTTCCATCCATTTTGAACCCCAGCATGGAGGGGAGCCTGCAAGTCTTTGACCGGCCACGGCAGCAGCCGGCTGTCTTGTCTTTCAGCCACAAGCGTTGCCAAGTGGCGGCTGCTCTCACCGGCGGAGAGGGCGATCGTGCTCAGCTTCACTCTGTACAGGTTGCTCCGGACCCTCCAGCGTTGCACCATGGGGTAGCCCATGGCTTCGTCGTACCGGACGTCGCCTGTGACGAGAGAGAACCGAGAAGCAGGTGGTCAGCAGGAGAAAGGATCTCCCGGCCGTGTTCGTTTCGCTCCCCTCGTGGCACCTTTTGGGGCAACCACCACCGCCATCACATTGTTGCTAACATCTTCCCGAATCCCTGGCTGTGCCCACTGGCAGTTGTAGAACAAAACAACTTCCCCGATGGGGAAGGGCTGCTCCTCCCACGAAAGAAAGCACGGAAGCCCCCTCCTGCAGAGCTAGAATGGATACGCCAGACACCAGCCTCTCCAGGACGCTAGTCAAACAAAGCTACTCGCTGGGTGACTCATTCACAGACTGAATTCTAGAGACTGTGCTGGTGGCGTCACTGCAGGATTGAAAAGGGAGACTTTCCTCCTTTCTTGTTTAGGGCAGAAACCAGATAAACCATCAGAGGGCAGCCGGAGAAATCCATCTTTCTCCCACCTCTCCATTGGCTCAGACAGTTCATCCTCGGAGGTCCCATTTGCCTTAGGCTCCAGGGCAATTCTTAAACAGGACCTTTAAAAAGATCCTGTTGTGTCCGCTTTTGGGTCCCTCATTCAGGAACATGAGAGTGTCTCAATTTCCCTGTTGAGGGATGCGAAGATGGGCAAGGTGGGGTTCCTGGAAGGGCTTTCCCCTTGGACACGCCAATGACCACCTCTTCCTTTATGACTGCGGTTCCCAACCTTGGGTTCCCAGATGTTCTTTGACTAAAACTCCCCCCAAAAACTTCACCACTGGTCAGGATTTCTTGGAGCTGCAGTCCACGAACGTCTGGGGACCCGACAGTTTGGAAACAACGGTGGAAGGGAATGCAGGTTACCACGCCTCCCCTTCTCTCCCTGGTCTCCTGTAGGTGCTGAGACTCATGGTGGCTTCGAAGAACATCTGGGGACCCAAGGTTGGGAACCACGGCTTTACGTCCAGGGCTATGTTCACACCAGTGGCAGAAAAAAAAGAGCACGTCTCCTACCCGTGAGCAGCTGAAGGTTGGGCAGCGGTTCCGAGAGCACCCCACGGCACTGCTCCTCAACGGGCAGAGGGATCACCATCAACGCGTCGGCCAGCTGGGGAAAGTCCTTGATGAAGTTGTTCTCCCTGCAGAAAGGTATGCGGAGCAATAAGAGGGGAGCGCTAAGAGAGGTGTGTGGGTGGCTGTGGGAGAAAAAAAGGGAGACCACATGCACGCAAGTCCTTGGCAAAGAGAGACAAACAGAGTTGTGTAACTATCTGGAAGCTATTATCGATAATCAGGTTGCTGTCTGTTGAGGTGCAAGTAGAACAAGCCGCCTGATACCTTTGTTGTTCCGAAATACCAAAGAGTGACTCATTGCCATCTTATCATGCTGGCAGCGAAGGGCAAGCCCACTAGGCTGGCTTTTCTGTCTCTCTCCCTGCATCCGAGAAAACAGCAGGATTTTGATAATGAGCTGTCAGTGGACCTTGACAGCCTTGTAAGGACACTCTTGGCACATGGATTCCCTCCCCAGTCAAGCTCCATGATGGCATTGTTGGATTCTCTTGAACCCAGAGCCACTCTTCATAGAATCATAGAAATGTGAAGTTGGAAAGGGCCTACAAGGTCATCAAGTCCAACCCCATGCTCAGTGCAGGAATCCAAATCAAACAATGTCTGCCAGGAGATTATCCAAGTTTTTCTTGAAGGCCTCCAGGGTTGGAGCTCTCACCCACTTCCGAGGTCACTGGTTCCGCTGCTCTAACAGTTAAGAAGTTTTTCCAGATATTCAACTGAAATCTGGCTTCTTTTAACTTGAGCCTATTGCTGTGTGTCCCGCACTCTGGGATGATGGAGAACAGATCCTGCCCCTCCTCTGTAGGACAGCCTTTCAAATATTTGAAAAGTGCTATCCTATCACCCCTCTTTTCTCCAGGCTAAACATGCCCAGTTCTTTCAGCCTTTCCTCTTTCCCAATGATCATCTGTTTCAGCTGTTCCCAGCCTGGGTCTCCAGATGTTCTTGGATTAAAACTCCCACCACCTGCTGTGCTTGGCCAGGATTTCTGGGAGTTGTAGTCTGAGAACATCTGGGGACCCAACGCGGGGAACCATTGATCTTATGATGTCCAGCACTTTGAAGTCCTCGCCTGGAAAGGGGACTGTTTCAAACGGCTAGGCCTCCCTTCCAAAAGGCTTTGCTCTTCCAAGGTGTGCCGACAGCCTGTGCCCGAGCGGCAGGGTGGAGGCGGCTCAGAAGCCCCAGAAGATGGAAACCCCAGCCCACGTTGGCTTTCCACAACACCTGCCTACCTGCAGCCAACAGAGGGACCTTGGGGAAGGCTGCTGCCTGGATCAACGGCTGCCATCATCCTCACCCCAGAACGTGCTCTAGATGGCTTCTAGCAGACTGGCAGAACAAGGGCATCTTTTGAGAGGTGAGGCTACCATTCAACGTCACATCCAGGTTTTCTTCTCCAGGGAACACGTAGTCCTAATGAACTCCCCGGGCTCTACTATGTTCTCCATGTGCATGTTTTTAAAAGGTTTTATGAATTTTAAAACATGTCCAGGCAGGGTGGTGGTGGTGGGTGGATGCCTGTCAAGGAGGCGATGGGAATTACAGGCTGGCTCACGGGATCCCCTTGGCACGCAAGAGGCACACCTGTCCGTAACGCCAAACAAACCGTTCTACTGCAGGGACCTTCCTCTTCGCTGTGATGCCCTTTCTATCTTAGTCGCACAAACATATAACAAGGTGGTGGCAGCCTGGTTTCAAGGCATGGATCAGTCTTCAATGTCTTTTGTGTGCGTGCGTGCGTGTGTTTTGCTCCTGTATTGGAGCAGAAAAACTGGAAGTGAGATGCTGAATTTCCATTGCAAAGACATTTTTAAAAAAGAATACACTGAAGGCTGTGTGGGTTGTGTTGTCTGGAGGCTGCTGCTGGTACTGCCGCGTAGTCTTAACATATGATTTTGGTTGCTTTGCCATTAATACTACTGGGGTGTGTATGAAGACGGGCTTAGTTGTGCTGCCGTTACTGTGCTTTGCAATTTCAATTGCTGTATGATGGGGCGGAGGAGGAGGACAAGGAACAGATACCAGATGGGCGGCATATAAATCGAACAAATAAATAAATAAATAAATAAATAAAACTGCAAATACCTTAAAAATAGGTTCTGGATGAACCTCTCCTGTCCCACAATTGGGAGGGGGGCAAGCTGGTATTGTTTCTAGAGTCCTCCCCTCCCTGCCAACTGACCTCCTAACCACCCTCTGTTCCGTGGGGACACTTGGATTTGCAAACAATCTCTGGGGCTCAGGAAGACACGGAGGGGGAAAAAAATCTTATTTCCTGACACCGGTTATACTTTTCAAAGGCTATCGCTGTGATGGAGTTGAAGCGGTGTGGGATATGTAGTCAGAGAAATGTAAGATGGAGTCAGACAGGTTCTGTGTGAAGATGATTGGAGAGACATTGGAATGTGTTTCTCTAAGTGCAATAAGAGTGTTTTTTTCTGAAAACCGGTACAGCCTGGTTCGAGATAAAGCTGAAGGTCGGACAAAGAGGCCTGTGAAAGACTCAACTTTCCGAGTTAATGGGAGAAGAGATAAAATACCCGGATCTTCATTGGAATCGAGGGCAGAGGAAGGTCTTACAGCCCCTTGAGGCTAATTGGTTAACAGCCATGAAGTGTCAAGAAGAAGGGAGGAGTTAGAGAATGTAGAAAATGGACGATGGGTTATGTGGGAGAGGTTCAATTCCATGATCATGGGAGGGAAAAAGAGCTTGAGCATGTGGTTTGAAGGAGAGAAAATGTGACTAAAGAGAAAGGAGGCGGTGGGGCTAGCCCACCTTAGTAGCATTTTTTTATTTTAATGGGGATTAGTTATTTTGTTTAACTGTATATTCTTTATGCTAAAGCTTGAGCAATATAAACTGATTCTATGAAACTCTATTTTTCTAATAAAAATAATTATAAAAATTCTTACAAAAGGACTGGTCTCTTGAACAGCAGGGTCTGGCTAAATCCAGGAGGTGGAGAGGGCCACAAACTAGCTATCTCTAAGAGTCCTACCTAACTGAGTTGTTGTGAGTTCTATGGAATCGCAAAGCCCATGTGTCTGTACTTGCAAAGTACTGGGTAAAAGTGAAGTGTTCTTTCAAGGTCAGACTTGTTCAAGGGGCTCACACTACGCACGGCTGAGGTCTTGGGACTTGTCTCAGCTCAAAGGTCTTAGGTCAGTGGCCTGCCGAACTCTCTGACTGAGTGCTCAGCGTTCCTTAGGGAGGCTTTGGGGGCACCACAATAGTTATGTTTTCATATGGAAACATAAGTCAGTGAATGTTTAGGAAACGAGTACTGAACTAAAACAATTTGAAATCCACATAGAAGCAAGTTTGGTGGGGAAAAAAGGAGATATGCAAATAAAATTAAAAAATAAAAATCCAAAACATTTTTCAGCAGCCAGTCAATATCTAAAAGCCGATGGAAGCTCATACGTAGGGCTTTAGCTTGGACCGGCAGATGCTCCACTCGGGCAGGGAGGGGGAATAAGCTCCGGGCGCTTCATTGCAACCTCGCAGCGCCCAACCCTCCCATTTTGCACCGAACGCGCGCACACACGGCTCCGTCTCTCTCACACTCCCATAGCCCTTCGTCCCTTTGCGGACACAATCAATATGAAAGACGCTCCCTCAGATAAGGCCCTATTGATCTGCACCCGGTTAAGCCAGGCTCAGACGAGCTGCGGGCTGTCAGGAGGCGAGAGGAGATGAATTACACAGCCTGCCTTGTGAATCTATGATGGGGGGGGTTTTGGAGAAAATGATAACATCGCCCCCTTCTCCTTGCCGTGGAAGAGAGAACAGAGCCAACGACAGAGCAAAATCGCCCAGCGGCAGGGTCCAACGTGGGGTCACACATCGTCGAAGGCAGAATATTAACAACTAAAAACAGTTAAGTTATTCAACGGCAGAAGGACTAACAATGTGATCTTTAAAATGTCAGATTAACCGCATTACAAAAGCAATTTGGAAAGCAACAAAATATAAACCGTCTTGTTCATCATCTCCTTGACAGTCAGTTCTTAAGGGAAAGCCTTGCTTTGCAAGCCGTCTTGGCCTGCTGGAGGAACGACAGTCAAGAGGGGGCCAGCCTGGCCTCCTGTGGGAGAGAGTTCCACAGCCTCTGGGAGCAGGCACAGAGAAAGGTGCTCTCCCAGATTCTTGTCCAATGCATCTCTGGGATTGAGATAAAGGCCTCCCCAGAGGATCTTAACACCCGTGCCAGACGCAGTCCTCAAGAGAGCTTGGACGCAGGCCGTTTAGGGCTTTGTAGGTCAAAACCAATACTTTGAACTGTGCTCGGAAACAGACTGGCGAAGCTGCTGTAACCGGAGCGGGGAGGGGGGGAGTTCCTTGTAAACAACCCCCGCTATGAAGCGACTCTGTAGCTCTACTCGAAGCTCCAGAGAAGAGTGTCGACTAAACCACAGCTCTCCAGGGTCATACATAAATAAAATCTATGTCTAGGACTGGAAAGGGGATTGTGCACGGCTGCGGTGGAAAGTCCTAGTAAATAGCTATCTGTAGAAACTGACAGCTCCAGCGCCGCCGGAATGCTGACTCTGCAGCAGCCGCACCTCTCGGGCAGACAGCCGCCGTGACGAGAAATTTATGCCTCGGATGGATGCTGCTGCAAAGCACAGGCTGGACCAGATGCACAAATGCACGACTCGAGGACGGCAGAGAATATCATGTCCGCACATCTGTCTCGTCGCTCTCCTAGGATGGGCACGCAAGAGGGACACAGCATCAAGTGGGGAAAAAAAGGACGTATTTCCCTCCCAAATCCTGGCTCCCCAGACTGGCAAGATATAAATCCTGCACCATCGGAGTGACCCTTCCAAAGCTTTCCCATATGCAACAGGGGTGGGAAGGAGAGAGGCACCGATGAGGGCTCAGGTTGTCAGAGACAACTGTATATGGTGGAAGGCTTGGATATGGATGGGGTGGAAAGGAATGTCCCTGAACGTTAGCAGGTATCAGCTTTTCTGGGGGATTCTGGTCACGACCTAGTTTTCCAAGAAATACACTAGAGAACAGAGACTGAAGGCTGAGCCAGACAAGCAGCGTCGC